CTGGAGTCCAGATACAGTCCAAAGGTCGAAACTGTGTAGTCCAAGGATCTGGAGAGGGTCAGGAAGTGGAAACAAGGCTGGGGCTTGTCAGTAACAGGACTGGAGCGAGGTCAGAGTAGGGCAAGGATAGGACTGGAACAGGGATCAGGCAAGGCTGGGACAGGAACAGGAATGGAATCAAGAGCATGGAGTCTCAAGAGTCTGATATGTTGCAAGGCAGCAGGAGGGTTCGGCCAGGTAGTGCTGTTGCACAGACTGATCTGCAGCTTTGGCAGGGTTAGGGAGATACCTGAGCCTGGGGGTCATCTGACCCAGGTTCGGCTTAGGGTTAGGCTGCTGTCACATGCATGCAAGCTCTGTTGGAAGGGTAAGTCAGTGCAGCTGGGTTGTTGCTGCATGTTTGAGTGATGATTCACTGCAGCTCTTTTGGAGGGGCACCTGTGTGAGCAGTCCTGGTTTGGCTGTGGGGTTGCCTGATACAGCCTTTAATGTGCTGGACCCCAGTGGTCCATACTCTTCTGAAAGGGCAGGCATGTGGCCTCAACCACTCTGAGATTGGGGCTTGGGGCTCCAGTACTCCTGTTTTCCCACCATGAGGTCCTATAGCGAGTCCACCTTATTTCAGTCTCCTGTGGAGGAATGCCACCCAGTAAGTATTTACAGTGCTACTGGGCAGCCTTTTCAAAGCAAGTAGCATTCATTAGTCATCTGGAATATACTGCATGTGAGAGCCTTTAGTTTAGCATGGAATAGACGTGCTTAAGATCAAGTCCATATTGGTAGAAGTAATGGTTTTGCCATGCCTTGAGTTTGTGGTCCATCTGTACTCTTTCTGTCCCAGTCTCTCTCCCCTTGTATTCTTGGCAGCACACTTGAAACACTGTCTGTTCACACCCTTGGGCCTTTGTTCTTCAAACTCAGCCATGCTGTGTTCATATGTCCAGCCTGTTTGGGCTTCTCTGTAGTTGAGTGTTAATGGCTTGGTCCTTGGCTCTTTCATTTTTGACACAAGGTCTTCTGTACATGTGTATAGACTCAGCCAGTTTTTGTTAAGCCGTTTGGGTTGGAACCAGACAGCTTATGTGACTCAAACCCTTAGCCCTTACCTCCGGGAGGAATAATAACTTTCCTACCAATGAGTAGCAATACAAAATTGGTAGGGACCCTGAGTTATTTATTTTATATCTATCTATCTAGCTCATAAAATATTACAGAAAGCTACCATGTTCATCATAAAGGATAGGTGAAAAGCAAGCTCACGTGGTTGGTTCCACATACCTGGTGTTTCACAAGGACAGTGTTACTCTTGGATCTTATCCAAAGTCCTGCTTCAGTTTGTTTCAGAATTCCATATAAATCAGTCCAATCTCCTCCTGGTTTGCTCTCCCAATCCATATTCTAATCTGGGGGAAGTGAGGCTTCACATGGCAGATGTAGTAAGAGCATTATCATTTTATTTAGATAGCATAAAATCTTTCAGGAACGCACCTAGGTTATTTGTAGTATTTGCCAAAAGACTTAAGGGAAAACGTATATCCTCTCAGAGGTTATCCAAATGGGTTTCTGGTTGCATAAATTCTTATTAGCTAGCCAAGAAAGATCTCCCTGGTCATATTAAAGAATGCATTTCAGTATGGCTGGGCAGCTTTTGCTGCCTGTTTGGATAAAATCCCCTTACCTGTAATATGTAAAACAACTACATGGAGCTCGATCCACACAATTAGCACTCGCTATTCCCTACTGCAGGCTTCCAGATTGGATGCTAATTTCGATAGGGCTGTTCTGCGATCCTATTCAAGTAGGACATCTCTTACTTACCTCTGAGCAATTAGACAACTGCTTATTAGTCACCAAGAGTGGAATCTGTGTGGACAGTATATTTCAAAGATTCAGTTTCTGTAGAGTAAGTATCCATTCTTTTCTGTCAGCACTGCCAACTACAGTGCTCTGGGTAAACTTGATCCAAGCAGTTGAAGACTTCTTTGACAATTTGGTTTGGAAATCATTGCCACCGAAGTTGTAAAGGGAAAAGGAACAGGAAAGAGTAGAAACTAAAGAACAGACATTTGACCTACAGAGGAAAGAAAACTAGGAGGCATTCAACCCAGCTAGTAGTATCTAATCGCTACCAGGCATTTAGCGAGGCACTTATAGAGAATGTCTCTGAATGTTCATGCAAAGGAACAGAACAGCGAGTGAGAGTAGCTACTTGCTTTGTACTACAGGGATATGCGAGAGAGTTTTCCACAACCATTTAAACAAGTCCCGTAGTCCTTATCAGCATATGAAGTGGCCAGAGATTTCAGTAAGGGATGCAAGGACAGCAGAATGGTGTGCTACCCCCCAGTGAAGAGCCAAGATGTAACTGCAAGATTGGATGGGATTCTGAAGTCAGCTGGCAAGTCTCCATTGATTCATAGCGTTTTTAAGACTGAAAAGGATCATTAGATATTCTAGTCTGACGTTCTGTGTATTTCAGGCCATTTAATTTTATTCTGTTACTCCTGTATTGAGCCCAATCATTTGTTTTGTTAAAGCATATTCCAGAAAGGCATATTTTTCATTTGAAGGCATCAAGAGATAGATAATCCACCATTTGGGTAGTTTGTTCCAGTGATTAATCAACCTCACTATTTAAATTAGGCATGAATTTTTAATTAGAATTTGTCTGGCTTCAGCTTCTAACTATATTATGCTTTTTTGTGCTCGATTAAGGAGCCTTTTTAGTTATCAGTATTTTCTCCCTGTGCTCATACACAGTAATCAAATCACCAGTTGATTTTTTTTGAGAAGCTAAATAAAGTTTAACTGTAAGACTTGTTCTCTACCCTAGAATAACTTTTGTGGCTCTTTTGAGAGATTCCAAGCGCAAAAGGGACCATTGTGATCATCTTGTCCAATCTCTTGTATAACACAGGCCATAGACAACCCCAAACTAATTCATTTTGAATTAGAGCATATCTTAAATTAATATTGGATTTCTTTTAATTGCCAGTGATGAAAAATACACCACGACACTGGGTAAATTGTCACAATGATTAATTACACTCACTTTTAAGAATTTACACCTTATATTCAGTCTGAATTTGTCTAGCTTCAACTTCCAGTCATAGTACCTTATCTGCTACATTGAAGAGACCATTATCAAATATTTATTCCCCAGGTAGATACTTACAGACTATGATCAAATCACTCCTTATCCGTCTCTTGGTTAAGTTAAATCAGTGGTTTTCTCCTTTCTTTAATTTTTGGACCCCCTAAAAAATTTCAGTTGGAGGTGCAGACCCCTTTGGAAATCTTACACATAGTCTGCGGACCTCAGGTTGAAAACCACTGTTCTATGGCAATGACAACCTTTCACAGACCCTTAGACATAGGCCTGGTCTACACTGGGGGGGCGGATTGATCTAAGTTAAGCAACTTCAGCTACGTGAATAACGGAGCCGAAGTCGACTTACTTAGACCTACTCACTGTGGTGTCTTCACTGCAGTGAGTCGACTGCTGCCGCTCCCCCATCGACTCTGCCTGCGCCTCTCGCGGGGGGGAAGTACAGGAGTCGATGGGAGAGCGCTCGGGGGTCGATTGCTGCCCGCCGATCCGGTGGGTAGTGTACACATACCCATAGTCTACAGACCCCCAGAGGTCTGCTGACCACAGGTTGAAAGCCACTGAGCTAAATAGACTGAGCTCCTTGAGTCTGTTACTATATGGTATGCTTTCTAATCCTTTAATCATTCTTATGGCTCTTTTCTGCACCAAAACTTGACTTTGGTGGGGCTCAAACCCACAACCTTTGAATTGCCCCGATTTCTCTAGAATTCCAGTGCACGATTCATTCTGCTACAGAGACAAGTACTCTGTGTCAGAATTTGCTGTTGAAATCTGTGGCATACTTGAAAGTTTTGCATCTGTATGAGAGGCATAGAAACATTCAGAAAATGAGAATTTTATGTTTACCATCTCAAGATTTTAAGTGAAATGTTAGAAGAGAGAACAGCAATGCAGATATAAGATCTGATTCACAGCACAATTTTTTAAATAGTCTCTCTCCACTGACTTCAGGATTTTGGGTCAGGCTCAGTAACCCCACAGTTCAGCAAATATATATGAAACTCCAATAAACAATGACCACCGCCAGACTGATACCATTACTATTGGTCTTCTCAATTACCCAAGAAGAGAAGATGTATATGTGCTTTGATATCATAAACTATAAACTTCAAAGCTACTCACTGGTGTTTTAGTGAAAATACAGCTTTATTCCTTCCTAGCTTCTTTCCTACAAACTGTATCCCCAAAACTTTAGAGTGTAACTGCAGACTGAGAGAAGGGAAAAGAGATGAAATTCAGATGAAATTTGAAAAGTTGGAGAATTGATTAAATGGAGAGAAATGGGAAAGCTGCCTTAGAGAGCAAGGTTTACAGAAGAGAAGGCATTTGTGCTGTGAGTGGGGAGATTGTGTAGAGAGACAGATGTGACAAAGAAATTAACATAAGTTTTGTGTGGTTAGCTGGAGCAAGTCCTTTGATGGTTTTTAAAAAGGAGGGAGGACAAACTTTTTTTTTAACTGAGTTTATTTGAAATTCTCTCTATCTTTTTAATCCATTAACTGCTGTGTAACAGAGTTCTAAAATATTAGTACTGTTTAAGTAAGCAGCTACTAAAAACCTAAATAAACTAGTCTTAAGTATCCACTTTAACCTGCACCCAAAAGTAAGACAATCCTGTATTTTAGTATTGGCCTGGAGTATTTCAAGCATCCCCTGTACTAGTACATTCATGCTGTTGTGAGTCTGAGAGTGACATATGAAGTGTATGCAAGTCCTGTGAACTATTTCTGCCTTCACTTAATAGTCTCTCTTTCTCCCAGAAGCACTAGTCCGGGTGGGGACAGTGCCTGGAGGTATAGCTAGCTACAGCAGTAATAAAGGAAAAACTGGAAGCAGCGTGTTCCTGAAAAGAAATCTCTTTCTATGACCCACCTCTTTTTAATTGCAGTATTCTAGAAATCATGACAACCTCAGGAAAAGAGAACTTCCGATTGAAGAGCTACAAGAACAAGTCTCTGAATCCTGATGAAATGCGTCGTAGGCGAGAGGAAGAGGGCCTTCAGCTACGGAAGCAGAAAAGGGAGGAACAGGTATAGCAGAACTCTTCTCTTGTAACTATAGCCAGTTCTCAAAAGAAGGCTTTTCTTGAAAATGTCTGCCCCCCTGGTTATCCCTGACCTGATAAATTCATGCATGCTAGCATACCGGTGATTATAGAGCAGACTTCTTTGAGAGTTGCTCCTTGATCTACTGAAATCACACCTGTGTGCTAGAGCCCTGGTTCTGCCATGATTATGATGATGTAAGTTCACACTCTAACCCTGCTCATTAGACTGATATGTTGAATAGGGAGTTTAAAGTTTTTTGTGTCCCCAACTGATTGAGAATCAAGAGAGATGCTGAAAACAACCACTGGACTAGTGGTTTCCTGTTACCTCAGGAGAAGGCAGCCTGGGAGCAGGAACAGTGCTGAGGACCTTTTCTTACCACATTTTGCTATAATTAATAGTTTTTAAGGTTCTTTTAGAAAATTCCATTTCTGAGGGGTTCATAATTGAAATGTAAAAATTTCTGCTGGGCCAAAATTCATCTCAAAGCCTTCACCCAAGAAAAGCCTAACTCAGAAACCTGCACAGAATTCTTCCCCATAAATCTTAAGAGCAAAGTGGTGTTATGCATTTCTATACTATTTTTCCCCATTTTTTTTGACCCAGGGCTATATCAGTAAACAAAAATAAAAATCTTTATTGATCTCTGAAACATTTTTGTTCTCTTAGAATTTTCCTATTTATTAAAATCCAGTGTGATACGTTTTTCTGACATTAATCAAAATCCTATGTGTTAGTAACATCTTAAGCCTGGTCTACACCATAAATATAGGTCAATGCAGGGCAGCTTATGTCGACCTAGTTGAGCATATGTTTACATTTAAATTTGGCTCCCACCAACATAAGTGCCATTTTTTAAACTAAGTTTCCTGATTGCCCGGCTTGATGAGCACATCTACCAGCTCTCCATTGTTGAATGCAACTGCCCAGCTGACTATGGAGTAGACAGGAGATATTGGCCTGTGGGTAGAAGAGACTGTGCAGGCACTGCTTCAAACCAGCCATAGAAACAGCAACATCCTGAGCAATCTGCTCATAGGGATGCAGGAGAAGGGATATGACAGGGACCAGCAGCAACATATGTGAAAGCTGAGGAGCTGCAGCAGGCGTGCCAGAAGGCCAGGGAGGCCATCAATTGATCCGGCCCCAAGCTGCAGACCTACTGCTTTTACGCAGAGCCACATGCCATACTCAGTGGAAATCACACCGTCACCTGCCACAGCACCCTGGATAGTTCCAAGGAGCCCAAGTCACCAGCCTCTGCTGCGAACAGCAGTGAGGAGGTGGTGAACAAGGAAGAGGAGGAGTATGTTGGACAGGTGACCAGGGAATCCTGCTGTGCAGCGAACCAGTACATTTTTTACTCCACTGCAGTCTAACCAGTCCTACCAGATGAGCATGGGTGAGCCAATGCAGGTGAAGGAACCTCAGGTGAGTGTGTCGTTTAATTTTAAATTATAGGGATGGCATCCCCAAAGTAGCAGGACACTCCTGAGTTATCATTAATTTACTCCTGGTAGAAGAGGTAGTGTTACGGCCCAGAGAGAGAGTTGCTATCTGCTTTTCATTCCCCTCTAGAGTTAGGCGGGGTGGGGGGGAGGAGGGCTGCAGAGCAATTTGTTTATGTTCACAGGGATGTTCGAATCCTCCTGAGCGATCTTGATTAAACTTTTATGGAAGTACTCTGTAATCCTCTGCTGAAGGTTTCTAGGGATGGCAGCCTTACTTCTTCCTCTGCAGTAGAACACTTTCCCATGCTAGTCAGTGATAATTTCAGCAGGCACCATTGCAATACACAGCCCAGCAGCATATAGTCCTGGGCTGCTTTGTGACACCCACAGCAGCTGTTCTCTTTCTGCCTTTGTTACCCTCAGGAGTGAGATATCAGCTAAAATCACCACTGCCTTTTGAAAACAATGTCAGTATTCAGTGGCATTGCCCTATACTTAAGTCCCTTCCTTTTCAGTTTAAACTGATTTTTACCGAAAATTTTCCAGGTTTTACAAAAAGTATAATTCATTTTTTTTCTGATTTTTCACCCTACTTTTGTATCATTCATATATATAAAAAATAACTTTTTATTAGGAAAATACAATACATTGCATGAGATCTATGTATTACGATAATACATTAGTCTGTATGTAAAGCTGCCTGTTGAAGTAAGGCTATGTATTAGTTTAGAAGCTACACACAAGAAACAAACAAGTTCTGAAGTGCATGTGCTTCTGAACATATTGATGAATCTCACCCCCAGGTATGCATTTCAAGCTGTGAGCAGCTTTAAACCATAACTGTTTAAAGATTTGACACCCTAAAATGAGAAGAAAACGAAAATCTGTAGCGGAATATATTTCACAACACAAGGAAGCATTCGAAAGTTTAAAAACAAAAATAGGAGAAAAGGATGAAGTTGAGTGTATGTGTTGCAAATGGTATGGCCCAATTATTAAATCTAAATATTTATAGACTAATAGTTCTAAGTCTACAACAGTAAACTATTTATTCAAATGAAAAGTTTTATTTGGGGATTAGAGATGTATTGTTTTCTTAAACTCAGAAGTGGCATTGTGTTTTGAGTAGGGCTGCCAAGTGATTAAAAAAATTAATCATGATTAATTGTGCGATTAAACAATAATAGAATACCATTTATTTAAATATTTTTGGATGTTTTCTACATTTTCAAATATCTTTATTTCAGTTACAACACAGAATGAAAAATGTACAGGGCTCACTTTATATTTATTTTTGATTACAATTATAAAATGCTGTAAAAAAACAAAAGAAATAGTATTTTTCAATTCCCCCGTTACAAGTACTGTAGTGCAATCTCTTTATCATGAAAGTTGAACTTACAAATGTAGAATTATGTACAAAAAAGCCTGCATTCAAAAATAAAACGATCTAAAACTTTAGAGTCTACAAGCCCACTGTTATAGCCAGTATTGCAAGATATTTACGTGCCGGATGTGCTAAAGATTCATATGTCCCTTCATGCTTCAACCACCATTCTAGAGGACATGCGTCCATGCTGATGACGGGTTCTGCTTGATAACGTTTCAAAGCAGTGCGGACTGATGCATGTTCATTTTCATCATCTGAGTCAGATGCCACCAGCAGAAGATTGATTTTCTTTTTTGGTGATTTGGATTCTGTAGTTTCCGCATTGGAATGTTGCTCTTTTAAGACATCTGAAAGCATGCTCCATGCCTTGTCTTGCTCAGTTTTTGGAAGGCACTTCAGATTCGTAAACCTTGGGTCGAGTGCTGTATCTGTCCTTAGAAATCTCACATTGGTACCTTCTTTGTGTTTTGTCAAATCTTCAGTGAAAGTGTTCTTAAAATGAACAGCATGTGCTGGGTCATCACCCAAGACTGCTATAACATGAAATATATGGCAGAATGCAGGTAAAACAGAGTCGGAGGCATACAATTCTCCGCCAAGAAGTTCAGTCACAAATTTAATTAAACGCATTATTTTTTTTAATAAGCGTCATCAGCATGGAAGCATGTCCTCTTATCAACGCATGAAGGGACATACAAATGTTTAGCATATCTGGCACGTAAATACCTTGCAACGCCGGCTACAAGAGTGCCATGTGAATGCCTGTTCTCACTTTCAGGTGACATTGTAAATAAGAAGCGGGCAGCATGATTGCCCGTAAATATAAACAAACTTGTTTGTCTTAGCGGTTGGCTGACTTCGAGTGGATTTGTAGGCTCTAAAGTTTTACCCAGTTTTGTTTTTGAGTGCAGTTAAGTAAAAGAAGAAAAATCTATATTTGTAAGTTGCATTTTCATGATAGAGATTGCACTACCGTACTTGTATGACGTGGATAGAAAGCTGGCTAGATCGTCTGGCTCATTAGGTAGTGATCACTGGCTCCATGTCTAGTTGGCAGCCGGTATCAAGCGGAGTGCCCCAAGGGTCGGTCCTGGGGCCAGTAGATACGCTGGAGGGTAGGGAGTAGGATACAGAGGGACTCGGACAAATTACAGGATTGAGCCAAAAGAAATATAATGAGGTTCAACAAGGACAAGTGCAGAGTCCTGCATTTAGGACAGAAGAATCCCATGCACTGCTGCAGACTAGGGACCGAGTGGCTAGGCAGCACTTCTGCAGAAAAGGGCCTAGGGGTTACAGTGGATGAGAAGCTGGATATGAGTCAACAGTGTGCCCTTGTTGCCAAGAAGGCTAACGGCATTTTGGGCTGTATAAGTAAAGGCATTGCCAGCAGATCGAGGGAGGTGATCATTCCCCTCTATTCGACATTGGTGAGGCCTCATCTGGAGTACTGTGTCCAGTTTTGGGCCCCACACTACAAGAAGGATGTGAAAAAACTGGGAAGAGTCCAGCGGAGGGCAACACAAATGATTAGGGGGCTGGAGCACATGACTTATGAGGAGAGGCTGAGGGAACTGGGATTATTTATTCTGCAGAAGAGAAGAATGAGGGGGGATTTGATAGCTGCTTTCAACTACCTGAAAGGGGGTTCCAAAGAGGATGGATCTAGACAGTTCTCAGTGGTAGTAGATGACAGAACAAGTTTCAGTGAGGGAGATTTAGGTTGGATATTGGGAAAAACTTTTTCGCGAGGAGGGAGGTGAAGCACTGGAATGGGTTACCTAGGGAGGTGGTGGAATCTCCTTCCTTAGAGGAGGTCAGGCTTGACAAAGCCCTGGCTGGGATGATTTAGGTGGGGATTGGTCCTGCTTTGAGCAGGGGGTTGGACTAGATGACCTCCTGAGGTCCCTTCCAACCCTGATATTCTATGAATTGAAAAATACTATTTCTTCTGTTTATCATTTTTACAGTGCAAATATTTGTAATAAAATATAATATAAAGTGACCACTATATACTTTGTATTCTGGGTTGTAATTGAAGTCAATATATTAAAATGTGGAAAAACATCCAAAAATATTTAATAGATTTCAATTGGGATTCTATTGTTTAACAGTGAGATTAAAATTGCAATTAATCACGA